TCTGATTTTTGTCCTGCATCGTCAAGGGCTTCAAGTTTTTATTGCTTCTGGAGCAGAAAACACAATGAAGTACCAAGAGCAGTGTAACTTAAAATTTTGTGAAAACCTGTATAAGCAATCATACGGTAATATGAGAGTGTTGAAAAATGAAATAAAACCAATAAATAAAATAATAAAAATGAAGAATAAAAAAAAAAAAAGAAATTAATTTTCCCATGATGCAAGTTATAAAAAAATACGAAAAGCGTTTCTGGTCACAGGCTCAATTTTATGACCGTACTTCCGGAAAAGACAGAATCTCTCTCTTTCCACTTTCCAACGGCATCGTTCGGGCGTGTTTTAGCTGCCCCACCCATGAATTAAGGGATTCGGTCATCTCAATTCGGCACAAGGCTGACTTGAGTTCAACCATATATATTCCTTCTTTATCATAACTTCCTATTAATTATTTCTGAACGAAAAAAAAGCCCAAAGTAAACGGACGTATTCAAGAGACATTTAACTTTGTTTCAATAGTCACCATAAAAGGAATAAATTTTTATATGCTTCTATCTTTGTGTACATATTGAACAGGCGCCTTTACCTAAAATACGCACAAACACACAACCTTTGCCAGCTTCCATAATTTATACACTCACTCTCGATCTTTGCAATCTCGACATACCATTTTTTTCTTACTACTCCATTTCACTTCACACTCGTCTCTCCACCTATCTGACTCACGCAGTTTGTATTTATGAGAGGAGGAAGAATTCATTCTACTGTAGGAGGGTTTACCAAGACAATAACAAAAAGACAAAATGTATTAAGAGCTACAAAGGACAGGAAAATGTGGAGAGCCATGATCGCCAGCGTACTGAAGGGAGACAGCACATAGAAAAAGAAGAAATCAATATTTATTTCTTCTTCGTAATTACATACCGAGCAACATTTTATCTCTTGTGGTTCTGTATGGAAAAACATTTATGAAGTTATGAATGCATAGAAAAAATAATTAATTTCTCTCACACTGGTGAACCTTTATACAAAGATCTCAGATATAGTTTTTGCTTCAAGAAAAACAAAAAAGAGAGAGAGAGAGAAGATATTTCAATATCAGTTGCGTTTTTTTTCTTTTCCTTATGCAGTTGTCCGCCTCTTACCATTCCCAGTTTCATTTTCACTCTAGATCTTTGCAATCTCGACATACCATTTTTTCTTATCTTCTTAAGTCAGAAACATGCAACTTTTGGCAATGTTTAACCTTAGTACACACAAAATGTCAAAAGGGCGTTTATTCCCTTGATTTTGTGGATAAATGAAATACAACCAATAAATAAAATAATAATAAAGAATAAAAAAAAAAAAAGAAAAAGAAATTCATTTTCCATGATGTAAGTTATAAAGAAACCGGAAAGGGTTTTAGTCACATGCGCGGTTTTATGACCTCACTTCCAGAAAGGGAAGAATCTTTCTCTTTTCCACTTTACAACAACATTGTCCGGACGTGTTTTGGAAGCCCTAATCATGAAGTAAGTGAACTGGTCGTTCCAACTCAGCGCAAAGCTGACTTGAGCTTGACCATTTTAACCATTGTTATCGTTACTTACTACTTGATTGAAAAGAACTGCATGTAGCCAAATCCTCATCACGTGATGTGTTGCTGCTTTGGTTTCTGCAGCAAAAAAATCAGAAAATAGACATAACTAATCAATAAAGAACGCGAAAAAGACAATACTGATCTGTAAATACAGTGGAGAAAATGACAATCAATAAAGTGACGAAAAAGACATAACTAAAGGGTAAAGAACGAGAAGAAAGAGACATAAATTATTAGCAAAGAAAAAGAAAAAAGCCAGACCCCATACCCAGTCGATTTTAGAATTTAAAATTATCCTACTCCTACACCAGTTACTAACTCAGGCAATGGAGATTAGTCTCTTCTGTATCTATCTATATTTCTGAGATGAGATATTTTGTACACTATTTACGAAGGGTTCAATTCGACATTCCAACCACTTGAAGAAGACCAGGGCGTACAATGGCCGAAACGTTGTGATAAATATGGCAACAAAGATGAGGACAATAGTCCGAATAATGTAAATAGTGTAGTCTCTTCTGCTATTTAACCTCTAGCTTGGAGGATAAAAAAATATATGAAGAGTATGAAAGCGAGAGAGGATAAATGTAAATTATGTTCGTGAGTTATGTGACAGGTTGGAATTCCGTTAAACAAATAAGCAAATGACTGTTTTCACAATTTAGAACAAGCCTACCCAAGACGAAATTAGCGCATGTGTCAAAATAGGTCAATGTTAATAGAGATAACGAAAGAACAAGTCAGCAACGGTGACGAGGTGGCCGAGTGGTTAAGGCGATGGACTGCTAATCCATTGGGGTCTCCCCGCGTGAGTTCGAATCTCATCCTCGTCGTATCATTTTTTTTTTTTATTCATAAACGTTTATAATTTAAAAAATAAATTTCTTTTGATATTAGGAATAAAGTTTTGTAATAAATTCAACCAGAACATTAAATTATGTCTTGTTACGTATATGTAGTATGTTTCCAGAATCAATTAATAATAAAAGAAATTAAGAATAAAACTTTCAACTCTGCGAATCGAATTTGGGGCTGGCTCTAAAGATATTATTTTTAATTTTACGCTGATAACCTCGCCGCTTTTATTAGTTTTTTTTTTTTACTGAATAATATAAATAAGATTTCAAAATATAATTTTGAAAATCGTTTTGAACAGTCTTTAGCTAACAAGTTTTAACCGAGACGAGGTGGCCGAGTGGTTAAGGCGATGGACTGCTAATCCATTGGGGTCTCCCCGCGTGAGTTCGAATCTCATCCTCGTCGTGAGGCTTTTTATTTAACACTAAAAAATTATTTACGAATAAAAAAAAAAGTCTGAAGTAAGTAGTATTACGAATGAATGAGTAAACAATATTACATGAGCAAATGAATTTTTGGACACTTCAAAACACATGTAAAAGGAAAAGATATATACGTTGTCAAAATAGGATATAGTTATTAGACATAATAAAAGCACCAAACTTCGTCCAAGACGAGGTGGCCGAGTGGTTAAGGCGATGGGCTGCTAATCCATTGGGGTTTCCCCGCGTGAGTTCGAATCTCATCCTCGTCGAGTTGTTCGCTTTATTTAACACTAAAAAATCATTTACGAATAAGAAAAAATGTCTGAAGTAAATAACATAATATAAACGGTTAGATCGCTCATACCCTTAAGTGACAGTGTTCATAAATTATTAAAGGTTACTGTAGTTATTATATGAGTATTTGTTGAGTTAGCTATCCAGTTTACCACTTTCGTATTACTTATTCTACGCTTATATCCTAAATTATAATATTTCATGAACCGTTTCCTTTAAGGACGTCAGTTTTCGTGGCTCTCCACAGCTTCCTATCCTGTGTATCTCTTAGTAATGTTTGTCTTTTTACCATTTTTTCTCACTTCCCGTTTTGCCAGCCCTTTTCATAAGCTCGTAAGATAATTGTCCCCTTTGTCTTCCTGTGTCCATTTTGCCTTTGATATGTACAGTGAGTGTCAAATTTTTTAACCCCTCCTTCCTCTTCATGAAGCATTTTAAAAATCTGACCAGTTCCTTATGATTCTTCTTTTTGATTCGAACATTATCATACGGTAATCAAATAAAACAATAATTTGGAATTATTGTAAGAGGGACAATATTTAAACTCAAAACTTTTGGGACACCATTCTTCCGTATTCGTGTATGTATATATGTATGTGTGTGTTTGTTTAAATTATAATTTAGGATATAAGCGTAGAATAAGTAATACGAAAGTGGTAAACTGGATAGCTAACTCAACAAATACTCATATAATAACTACAGTAACCTTTAATAATTTATGAACACTGTCACTTAAGGGTATGAGCGATCTAACCGTTTATATTATGTTATTTACTTCAGACATTTTTTCTTATTCGTAAATGATTTTTTAGTGTTAAATAAAGCGAACAACTCGACGAGGATGAGATTCGAACTCACGCGGGGAAACCCCAATGGATTAGCAGCCCATCGCCTTAACCACTCGGCCACCTCGTCTTGGACGAAGTTTGGTGCTTTTATTATGTCTAATAACTATATCCTATTTTGACAACGTATATATCTTTTCCTTTTACATGTGTTTTGAAGTGTCCAAAAATTCATTTGCTCATGTAATATTGTTTACTCATTCATTCGTAATACTACTTACTTCAGACTTTTTTTTTTATTCGTAAATAATTTTTTAGTGTTAAATAAAAAGCCTCACGACGAGGATGAGATTCGAACTCACGCGGGGAGACCCCAATGGATTAGCAGTCCATCGCCTTAACCACTCGGCCACCTCGTCTTCGCTTCTTCCAGACGTGCTTATTATGTGTAATAACTATATCCTATTTTGACAACATATCTTTTTTTTTTCTTCTTGCGCATATGTGTGTTTTGAATTGTTCAAACATTAATTTGCTTATTTGAATAACGGAATCACAATCTGTCACATAACACATTTATTATAAGTTACGTTTTTTTCTGCCATTCTGTCACTTTGATGTCCACCCGCTATCTGGATATGACAAAAAACTTTGTCATCTTTAAGCATTACGAAATTATGCATTTATACATCAGTCAGTTATATGCTATGCGTGGTACACACTTAGGCGATAATATATCTTTCGATACATGACTGACGAGGCAGATTTTTTTCCCGCAGTAGGTTGCCATTTCTTTCTGCGGTAAACCGGTTGCCATCCAAAGCTATAGAACCCGGTCTGACCTGCTATTTACCCATAAATAAGGGAGAAGAAGAGGATTCATACCTTTTCCAAAGGTATTAGCACGTAAGTGAATCCATTGGAATTCGAACTCGGCTCTCCGATTCCTCAATCCGAGTCGCTCCACCGTCCCCACCCCTTTCATATATTTGCATAGGAAGCTCAAAAAATTGATACATGACTCGTTCAAACAATTTGGTTAAATGAACATGACTTCGAGCTGAAATACCTGTTCTCGTCCGCTCACAGAAGTTAAGCAACGTTGAACTTGGTTAGTACCTAGATGGGTGACCGTTCTTGAATACCAGGTTTTGTAAGCTTGGATGTGCGTGTGGTGTATTGGATAAAGGCTCGGATTAAGAAATCGAAGTGACGAGTTATATTCACATACGTGCAAATACACTTGGAAATGCTATGAATCCACCTCTTCTTCTCCCACTTATGGGTAAAATAGTAAAACATGTGACAGAAAAGCATTATTATCAAGTTCATACAATCCGAAAATATGTTTCGGTTTTTGCTATATACCCTACCTATGAACACTAATGGGTATGTCTGAATCCTCATAAATACGTTGGAGGCTCCGGGCAGTGCTTTGTGATTCTCGCTCTTATCAACTTTTGCTTTTTCTACCTACATTTTTATATATGTTACAAATTAAACTAAGTACAACTGACTATTAAAGAATGAATAAAAATCCAAACATTTTGAACACTGATTGGTCCAGTTCTACTGTATGGATCAAAAACATTATCTGTTCGTCTTGAAAGACGACTGGATGGAACATATACAAATCTACTTAGAAAAATCCAGAACATCAGTTGGAGATCCCATGCAAGGCTTAACACAATTTACGGAGAACTGAGACCAATATCTATTAAGCTCAAACAAAAACGATTAAAGTTTGTCGGCCATTACCACCGAGTTGACAAAGAAATTATCTCATCTTTACGACTATGACATTCTTCATTTCTCATAAAAATTGACTTTCCCACATACTAGGACTCAGGGTTGGATATTGGGGATCTGGGGACATATATGTAGGACAAAACAATGTGAAAAGAGATTGTCAGTGGAGTTCCGACCAACCATAGGGAGGTCGAAAGTTAATGCTGATAATAAAAGGATGAAAGATTTTCGCGGATTTTGACGAAAAAATGGGGTTACTTTTTTCTCCAAATCCATAATTTTTGGGCGGATGCTAAGTCTCAAAAGAACATAATATAAAATTCAGTATTTTTAAGCCATCATGTTGAATGTGTTAAAAGTATTTAATTTTTTAACAAGAAAAATTTCAAGTTGATGTTAAAAATTGCCGCAAAACATTGTTGATTTATTTAAGATCTATTATGACATGTTTGTATTTAGAAAATTGCGATGTATTAGAGTGGGGTATCCGTATCATAGATTCGGTGGAGGCCTACGAGATCCTTGAACCAGCCCTGATGACGACAATATATAATCTTAAAACTGCATTGCTTATATTTTCCGCATGAATAATCATGAATTTGTATCTCTACGCTGAACTCTATTGTCATATGCAAGAAAGAATTCTGTTTTTTTAAATTGTGAAAAGCAAAAATAGCTGATGAAGGCTAACATGAAACAGAAAATTAAAAAAATATATCTGTTTTCAGTATTTACTAATGAGAAATTTCGTTGTACGTTATTTCTGTCGAATAATGCCTTTTGGTACCGTAACAACAGGATATCCCTTTATCTTAAATAAGGAAGATAAGGATGTTTTACTGATACATATGTGAAGCCACATATTCTAGAACAGATATGCGAAGTACAGCTTGACAAAATCGATTGTTTTAACCGGCTAATTGATAAAAACACTGGTGTTGAATGTTCGACAAGTTTTCTTTTCAATCAACTACTACAACGGCCGGAACTACAATATTATCAGCGATTGACATTGAAAAACTGACTGGATAAAATTACATTGTCTCCCGACCTCTTCCCGCTAATATTAATTCCCTTCTCACTTTGTCCTTCAGTTGAGTTCAGCACAGTCACTTTCTTACCAGTGACCGATGAACTGAGGACATGAGTTTTTTTTTTGTTTGTTTTTTTTTTTGTTTTTTTTTTTTAAGCTGATCTTACGTACTAGAATTCTCGCATTACACATCTTGAAGAGTATTCAAAAACAGAACACTGTTTTCTGGCAATCATCACTTACGATATTCTCTTCTTAAAAAAAAACGTGTTTTTCTTTTACCTTCGTAAAGCATCAGAAATTTGTTTTTTTTCGACTTGTCAGCTCACAAGGAATTTGCTTAAAGTACGCCATTTTAGCTTGTTGTAAATATACAGGGTGATTGAAAAGTAACTGCCTATTTTACGTATGATGGACTCTTCCGTTTTGTAAAAAATATAGTTAGACGTCCATCATACATAAAATAGGGAGTTACTTTTCAGTCACCCTGTATAACATGCAAACATTTAAATGTCAATGGATTTCGAACGAAATATTTCCATGGACCTGGGTTGGAAATTGAACTTTCATATTCCGTTATAGTAAGATCTCGACATGGTGTAATGGTTAATAAGCTTGTTTTGCTAGAACAATTACGACTGAATAGTGACTTCGATCCTTACTGGGTGCCCCGGACTTTCGGCCTTGTGCCACATAAAAACTACGTTTGGGCACCTCGAAGTGGTGTAATGGTTAGTAAACTTGTCTCGCAATAACAATTATAACTGGGTAATGAGTTCGATCCTCACTGGATCCATCAATGTTTCCGCCATGTGCCGCATCTACGCTGTGATTTATTATTCGACGCGAAATGTCAGATTTTGATTATTTATTTTACGTTTTTCTTTTCTTTTCTTTATTTTTATTTTATTCAATGCAAATTTTCAAAGTGTTTCCGTGAATGATGCAAAGTTTTCGACTTAACTAATACCTAGAAAGCGGATGGGCAGTAAAATGACAGAATTGCAGAAAAAAATGTAACTTATATTAAATGTGTTATGTGACAGATTGTGATTCCGTTATTCAAATAAGCAAATTAATGTTTGAACAATTCAAAACACACATATGCGCAAGAAGAAAGCAAAAAAGATATGCTGTCAAAATAGGATAAAGTTGTTAGACATAATAAACAGGTCTGGAAGAAGCGAAGACGAGGTGGCCGAGTGGTTAAGGCGATGGACTGCTAATCCATTGGGGTCTCCCCGCGTGAGTTCGAATCTCATCCTCGTCGTGTGTTTTTTTATTTAACACTAAAAAATCATTTGCGAATAAAAAAAAAATTACATGAGCGATGAACTGGCTTAGATCCCTCACGCCGTCCTAAAAATTCCGATGCAAGTCATCGTCGACTTACGACCACGATTATTTACGACCGATGGGTTGTAAATCGATATTGTCATAAATTGAACTGTAATTAAATCAAGTCCATCAATCCTTAGCAGTTTATTTAAATTCAGAATTTTTTTTTTATTTATCATCTACCGATTTTTTATTCTTTGTTATCTATATGTTCTTATCTTTTTATCTTCTTCCATTCCTATCTATCTATCTATCTATCTATCTATCTATCTATTTCAGCCTGTTTATCATCTATCTCACACTATTCACATCTATCTATCCCTTTCTCTTTCTACTCTTTCTCTTTTTTGGCGGGGGGGTAATATTGATTTTTTGGTACAAGTCCTGCAAATTAACCCATAACTAGAAGGAGTAGAAGTAGTCTCACAATTTTCCACCGGTATTTGCGCGCAGAGGAATATAACGAACCCAACTGGAATTAGAACTCGTCACTTATCCATTACACCAGCCGAACATCCAAGCTTACAGCACGTGGTATTCCCGAGCGATCACCCATCTAGGCACTGACCATGCTCAACGTTGCTTAACTTCGATGATCGTAGGAGAATCGATGTTTCAATGTGATATGGCCGCAAGAATCATTGGGAACTCTTTCTAAATACTTATATTATCTTCAAGAGTTGATAACAGTAGAAACCCCACTAAAATAATAAAAACAAAGGATTTACTCTGACCTGATTTTATTTGACCTTAAGAATTTTGTTTATGAAAAACTGGATCCTTATCAGGTAGCACTTAATAAAGAGCAATGGTTTGAAGCATTTTTCCGTGTGTGTGAATGGTCCTTTGAAACACTGCTAGCATGATAGATTTCATCAATTCTTTAACTTTCTTTCATGTCCACCTTTTTAAATATTTCACCTAATTTAACGTTTTAAAATTTTCTTTATCTTTATTTTTGTTTGTCGTCTTCTGTTTCGCATCACTCTTCTTTTTTATAACAATGATTGTTTAAGCGATTTAACATCTACCGCTTTTTTTATTCTTATCTATATGTTCGTATTTTTTTATCTTCTTCTATTCCTATCTATCTATCTATCTATTTATCTATCTATCTATCTATTTCAGCCTGTTTATTATCTATCTCACACTATTCACATCTATCTATCTATCTATCTATCTATCTATCTATCTATCTATCCCTTTATCTTTCCTCTCTCTTTCTTTCTTTCTTTCTTTTCTTTCTCTCTCTCTCTCTCTCTCTATATATATATATATATATATATATATATATATATATATATATATATATATATATATATATTATGATATTAAATCAAAACATGTTAAAAATCGCTACACAATGGCAATTATGTTTCAACATTACAAATGTGGCGAGTGAACGATTAATTTAATTTCAAAAGCAGAATACTTCCTCTTTAAAAATGAATTAAAATAGGCTTGTGGTCTTTAATTATTAAATTTATATTTTAATTAATATAGGTCATGACACGAAGTTGTCAGCATATAAATCCTAGACAATTTCATTGACAGATACGAATGGTTACATTATTTCGTAAGATGTATAGAAGTCCAGCGCTTAAATTTCCTGAGAAGTAAAAGCGAAATGCTAACTAATTATATACTCGGTCAGCTTCCTACATAAAATTTTGTAGTTGATAAATAAAATGCCCCTTTAAGAAAATGCTAAATAACAGATCATAAATACAAAACTACTTTGGCAAATTAATATGCAACCGTTAAGAACATCAATATAAGATGTTAATAATACTAACTAATCAATGTTATATGTTAATAATACTAACTAAATACATGTACATCCATGTTAATAATACTAACTAAACATCAATACAGAGCTATACTAAATCAAAATGACTCTTACAAATAGAATAGTTAGCCATATAATTATGATTATTCCTATAAGAAAGAGTATTATCAAATTCCAAGTTTAAACATATTGTAAGGTAAAATGTTGACTGCCTACAATTTACAATCAATTAACTTCTTTGGTTTAATAAGGAGTTTTTATTTTTTAAATTCTGATAATTTCTCATTTTTTATGTAAGCTTAGAAAACAGGGTCCATTTAAATATCTACGTGTTCTAGCTTTTTTAAAAAATAATTTCCATTTTACTTTAGGAGTTTTATTAATTTCTTTTAATTTCCCAAAATATTTAGAAAGAGATGTACTATTTTTATAAGTACTATTGATATGATGGTCTTAAAAGAATTCTTAGTACTGCCAATATGGAATTTTTTAAACAATCGGATTCTCCATTGTAGAAATAGTACTGAGATAAAGGGAGTTGATTAAACATTTGTTTCGTAATGGGCATTCGTTAGAATTTTTGCAATTGCATTGCTTAATATTATCAACAGTATTTATCTTGAAATGTGCATTATTATCCAAAATTTTAATTAGTTTAAAATTTTATTATTGTGCTTCTTTATAATCTTCTCAGGATTATCGGTGAGGCTATAACTTAGTTTTAGTGTGTTTCTGTTAAATATTTTACTAAGAGGGTTGCTTATAGGGAAATGTTTATCAGTTAAATGGAGGAAATTCTGGTCTAACTTAGTACTGACCAGTTGGTTGAATGGGGGGGAGTGTATCAGATATTTAGTTCTACTCTGTATTTAGCCCTCGTTTAAATTAAATGTTGCGGACAGTGAAATTATACTGTATATTGTTCTCATTTTACCTGGATATATATAGGCACGGTGGTGCAATGGACAGCGGCTCGGATTGGCAACTAGTCAAGTTTAAATTCAACACCTGTGGAGGGTTGTTGCGAAACCTTGTGGCACACAGTGCACCAGGTCCTCCCTGTATTCGGCTCTTCAAAAAGGGTGGTTGGTTCTGCACAAAGCCTTCACCACTATAATCAGATGATTTGTACAGGTGGTCTGGTTTTCGGTTTCTAGGAATTGAGTTGCTTGACACTCATACATCGAAAACGACAGGAGAGTCAGTATATATATATATATATATATATATATATATATATATATATATATATATATATATATATATTGATTTAAAATATGTTTTTTTTCCGCTACACAGTTCTAACCATGTTTCAAAATGGATTTGCACTTGAATTTAATTTTGTAATTAAATTAAAGACATTAGTTCCATTTCATCCTCAAGCGAATTTTGGAGTAACTTTTAAAATTACTCGCTTGAGGATGAAATGGAAGAAATGTCTTTAATTTAATTGCAAAATTAAATTATGGCTCTTTAAGCTTCCATTTTGAAACTATTTTGTAAAAATAAAAATATCTATAAGAACATCGGATTATATAACATATATATATAAATATATATATATATATATATATATATATATCTCTCTATTCACGTATAATTTCAGCCAGTTTATTACCTATTTTCTTTTTTGTAAAATCTATCTATCGCCCTTTTCTTATCTATAAGAATCTATCGGATTATATATCTATTACTGTTCATTTATGTATATATATATAGATTTTATATTTCGATCTCTTAGTCTCTATCTATATCGGTTCCCATCTATTTATCTATCTATATTAGAGAGAGATACATATTTATATAAATATATATGCATACACATACTTATACATACACACTCACAAACACACACACACACACACACATATATATATATATATATATTGCGTATTTAGGTAGCATTCCTTCATTTATGCATGTTTCACTAAAAACGACTGAGAAGGTACTAAGATTATGCTTTTTATTTAATTTTTAAAATTTTAATTTAAGTATTTTCTTTTTTGGGACACAGAGTGTATAGAAACTGTCCAAATGTTCTATAATTCCGAGCGCTTTCGGCTATACTTTTAGCCATTATCAAGGACGATTTTATTTTTTTCAGTTTAAATGAGTGTGTGTGTTGCGTGTATGTTTTTAGTGTTATAGAGATGTTTTATGTTCCGTACACAGTTTGCACATTGTGGCCGTGTTCCTATTTAATATTAAGTGTTGTTTTTTTCTTTTTTTATTATTAAGGGCTTCCATTATTTTTAATTTTAATTTTACATGTGGATGAGGTTATTATGTTTGTATTTTCTACTAGTATGTTTCAGATGGAGTCCTGTAAGCTTGTGTATGTGTTTAAATGGCTCCTAATAGAGCTCAGTGGTCAGATAGGTGTAACGTTAGGCGTCTGGATAGGCATGTCGTCGTGTGACCGATGTAATTATTTATGAATTCGATTTGATCAGGAACACAATTCCTTAAGGGGGCATTTGGACTCATAGATAATGTTCGTTCGTAGTAACTACACTCCCAAAAAGAAAACACTTGTTCGAACATAAGAAAAATTAAATAAAAAGTTTAATCGTAATACCTTGTCTGTAGTTTTTAATGAAACATGCATATATATATATATATATATATATATATATATATATATATATATATATATATATATATATAGGTGTGATCGGTAAATTGTCACCATTTTATTATTTTAATTGCGCGTTGTTTGTTTTGCATTTGACGACTGCACAATATAAGTTCAGTTGGACATCGTCTGCGAGAAAATGAGTACCCTGATGCAATTCAGAAATTTGGAAATGGCATACTGTACTGCTTGGCATTCGCACCGGAAGCTCAATACAAATATTTCAGAGTGATTGGGATTACGAAGGTACGGGTGCTCGGAAATCTCACTCTGATCGTTCTGATAAGAAAAGAATTCTTGAATTTGTAGGTGATGGTCTCAGTCTCAACACGTAGGCCTACATCATGTGTCTTGAGTAGGTAGTGTTGCCCTGGGTCAAGAGGGTGGCTACTGGAAGACTCTATGTCTGTCAACGGGACTATGCTCCATGACAGACAAGCAGGCGAACCCAATTATGGTTGTCAGATAATTTTCACATCGCCTCTTACAACTGGCTACTCCCCAGACTGCCACGCACTTGATCAGCTAGGCGAGAGATCAACGAAACTAGTTTAACACAAAAGATGAACTGAAAGCAAAGATTATGACAACATTCACCAACTTAAACAAGGAGACCGCCCAAAAGAGTTGCAGGAAATCCCGAAGTCATCTGGAGGCCGTGATTGAAGCCAATGGAGCTTTTATTGAACTTAATTTACTCTTTAGTATTTCAATATATTTTCGTGTAACTTTGGTAAATATATCTGTTAAAACGAGATGCCAGTGTTATTTTCATTTTTGCATAATCTAGACGACAATTTATCCATCGCATATATATATATGCACGCACACACACACACACACACACATATATATATATATATATATATATACATATGAGAGAGATTATCATCTATAAGTTTCTACTTCTCAGAAAAATAAGTAATTTTAATCTAATTAAGTCATTCTTGAGAGCGAAATGTGTTAGATAAAATTTTTACACTTTGTCATTCAATTGTCATATGTATATGTGCGTGCATGTGTTTGTTAATACCTACATAAATTTATTCATATCTATTTACCTATGTTAATATCTATCTAGCTTGCTTTCACAATATATTTGTTTACATCTATCAATTTCAACCTGTACATGATCAATCTATCTCACACTATTCCCATATAACTGCCTATTTCCCTTTGTTAACATCTATCTATCTATCTATCTATCTATCTATCTATCTATCTATCTATCTATCTATCTATCTATCTATAACTCATTTGTTCTATCTGATAGCTTTTCTTCTAGAAACTACAACAAAGGATGAATAAATTCTTAGAGTTACTTGCAAAATCTCAATCTGAATAGCCCACTGTATGTTATTCATCACTGAATTAAATGCATTGAAGGTAGAAGATAATGTTAAAAAATAAATTAAAATAATTTAAATAAAAAATGAAATATAAAATAAAATAAATCAAATGAAATAAATTTTGTTATGGAAAATATTTATTCAGCGATATGCAGCGAACTTATCGATGTGTATGTATTTATGTACAATTTTCTTTTTCACATTTTTATGTACAAGAATAAGCAAAGATTTAAATACGGCATTGAATAAAGAAAGGAAGAAAGATAGAAAGAAATAGATAGAATGACAGAAATAAATAAATAGATAGATAGATAGATAGATAGATAGATAGAAAGAACGATAGATAGAAAGAAAGAAAAAATATAAAAAGATAAAAAGGAATAAAGAAAGAAAAATATAGAAAAAATGAAATGAAGAAAGAAAGATAGATAGACAGAAAGATAGAAATAAATAAATAAAAATAGATAGATAGATAGATAGGTAGAAAGAAAGAAAGAAAAAAGAAAGAAAGATAGAAAGGCAGAGAGAAATAAAGATAGACAGAAAGAAAAATAGAAAGAAAGAAGATAGAATTAACGACAGAAAGAAAGAAAGAAAGAAAGAAAGAAAGAAAGAAAGGGACGTGCAAAAATTCCTTTATTTCTGTTTACGTTCTTTCTTTAATATTTTATTCAAGTGTTTGAGGATTTTGTATTCTCGGCTGCTTGCTTTTCTTGTGAGTCGCCGTTTTCTCCTTTTTCTCCTTTTTCTTTTCTTTTTTCTTTTCTTTTCTTTATTTTCCTGTGAACAGAATAAACGCATATTGTCGTGAGTAAGGAGGTAGGCGGTGACTTGTGTGTTTTCATTATTCTCTCACGGTTTTTTTTTCTTCTTCTGTGGATCAGTTATGAAGAGAAACGGAGTGTACAGGGTCCTTCCTTGTTCTTTGATGTTTGTTACTTCAGCTGGCTATTGACCGGGTGGGTCCACAGCAGAGCCTGGGTCCTCGAGATACAACAGATTGTGAACGACGCCGGTGGTAGAAATTTGGATTGGACAACGAACTTTTCAACCGAAACTGCATGTCGAATTATTTAGAAATTTACTTCTGATTGCTCGACTGCCTTTATCGAAACAAATGAGGCTATAAATAATTATTTTTCTATATTTTAGGGGTTATTTTATTTTATTTTTTGAAGACAGGAAAATAATTATCGATTTAAAGGTTTACTAATAAGCAATAACTGATGAGTTAAAAAAATGTAACATATGGGACTACTTGAGAATAGTGGTCCACTCCTAAAAAAATAGGAAAAATATTTTCGAAATAATTTTTGTAGTGTAACACTCATTTGATTTGTTTAAAAACCTTCCATTTGTCAGAATCGAAAAATATTGATTTTTTAATAATGTTAGTGGGTGGGTACTGTTCATAATATAAATAAAGTGTAAAATCGATCCCTGACTTATTTGGACCTTGCTGTTCTGCTTAAGAAAACAAACGGATATATATATATATATATATATATATATATATATATATATATATATACATTACTCTATTTATTGAACAATTTAGTTCATGCCACAGTGACTGATAAACTCCTACAAAAAAAATTCTCAAACTGCCATATTAGTAAAAAAAAACACACTCTTAAGTTTAAAAAAAAAAAAAATCATCGTTAGCGCTGCGACTGTACGCTCCAAAAGTTAACAATAACACATTAAAAAAAAAAAACCCAAAAAACATATTTCGATTCGCATTTAATTTTTTCGTCTCTGATGCTACTTGAATTTTATCAAAAACAAAATAATTTCCATGCCTGAAGATGACTGAATGTACAGTTGAAAGTACTTACGTATTAAAGAAAGACTTTATACAGTTTATAATTAAAAAAAAAAAAAAACAAGGATCATAACATTCATCGAGTGATTTGTAGGTTAATGCACCTTTAAAATTTTGTTTGCGAAGGGATTTCGCCATTTTATATCGTTAACTTTACTAATCTACTTTTTGTATGAATGATTCATTGTACACACACACACACACACACACACACACACACACACACACACATACACATATATATATATATATATATATATATATATATATATATATATATATAATTATTCTTCTTTATGTGGCGTGTCTCTTCCGGACATAGGCGATCATGGCTCTCCACAATTTCCTGTCTCTTGTACTTCTGCTATTTCTCCCAAGCCTTGTTTCGCCATCCATTTACTCAATTTCGTCAAGTATGTCATGTGTTGTCTTCCTCTGTCCCTCTACCTGTCCCGTGAGTATCAGATTTTCCAAGTCGTCTTTCCTCATTATATACCCTAGGAACTTCCACTGTCTCTTTCTAATGTTAAGTATTAGTTTCCTTTCTGTTTCCATTTTCTCCAAAACTTCGTGGCTTACGGACACATCACGTTGAACCACCGGTTCCCGTACGATTACCAAAGTTAAGCAACGTCGATGGGTGACCGCTTGGGAATACCAGACTCTGTAGGCTTGGATGTGCCGGTGTTGTAACAGATGATGGCTCGGAAATGTTAATGCTGAATTCGTTATATTCGCTAACGCGCAAATACCATTTGGAAAAGTTTGAATCCACTTCTTCTCCCCACCAGATATGGGTTAATTAGTAAAACTTGTATCACTAAAACCATTATTATCTCCAAAAATTAAAATTGCGTACAAAATATTTAGATTTCGACATTAAAGAACCCCCATAGATGTTGATATGCCGTTAAACAAAACGAACCAAAACATCGTCGTTATTCACATGTTCGGTCGATGTTTTCCACAACATCCACATTTAAAGAACAAAAATAAATTAAGAATAGTGTATATCCGTTTATTCTTCAGTTTATCCTTTATGCTTCATTATTATTATCAAATACTTATGCTTCTGTTTCCGAAAAAAATTCTGCCCACAAAAAAAAGGTTATAAGAATAGTTTTAAAATAGTTTAAAAATACCAGAAAAATAAAAAAAATAGAAATATGCAGATATCAATGATTTTGACAGTTTCAAACTTGACATGTGTAAACAACGGCTCGATGAAAAGAGTCATTGTTTATTATTATTAACGTCTTCCCCAGCATAAACGTGTATATACGTTTTTAGCGAAAGTGTCTTTTTCAGATACGAACGGATAAACGTTCAAAACCAAATAATTTTCAAAAACCAACTATAGACGTGTTTATACGTCGATCGTGATTTTTTTTTTATGCTCTTCTGAGTCTGAAACAAGTCCATTTGTCAACTTATACAGTGGGTAGAGGTGTGAGGCACCGCTCGGGTATTGAAGGTGCCTCTGTTTCTTAGCTACTATATTAAAAACAAATAAAAAAATTCGTCTGAATATGAAACGTTTTACCCAAAACAATTGGCGAGAAAGGGGGTTAATGTGATAAAAGATCTTTCTGCCATAAGAATTCACTTATTATATATACGAAAAAAGTTAATCATTTAGTTTCCTGAAAAAAGTATCTTTTTTTTTTATACAGCAAATATTTAATTTTGATCATAATTTCTTTCATTCTTGAAGTGCTTTAACTTACTGTTCCTTCCTATAAAACAGATATTTTTAAATCGGTATTACCCCATGCGTCGCAGTAAAACTACTAAAATACAAGGTGTTACAGGGTGTGGAAGAATGAGGAACAGAAACATTATTAATAAGCGGGAAGAGAAAAGAGTAAACAGAAAAATAGTAGATAACGATTGATATTGAATTTAAATTTTTTCAGATTAAAGTTATAATTAATCTTAATACTACTATTACTACTACTACTACTAATAATAATAATAACAATAATAATAATAATAATGGGATTAGTTCAACTACAAATATATTATTATTATAATATAATATATTAATATATTATATTAACCACAACAATGGTTTTTAAAGATACCTGGAAACTACAGAAGACTGGATGATAATCTGTGTCAAAGAACATGAAAGAAATAAGAAAATGTATTCAATAATAAAGGAAACTAACAAACTGAAAATGGAATTTCAAGTGGGTGGCACCTACTGCAGCGACAAAGGACCTAAAAAAGAAAGCAAATATAATGTACCAAATGCAAAAAACGATGACAAGATAAGTACTCTGCCCGTACCAGACAATCTGATGTAGACAAACCCTATACCCATCAGTGGTTACGTAGTGCAGGGTTAAAAGCTGAAATCGGAGGTTTTATACTTGCTGCACAGGACTAATTCTTTCTAACTAGAAATTACCAAGCACACATAATGATAAATAGTTAATCCAAAACACCGATTCTGCGATAAATACCCAGAAACAATTGACCATCTTGTATCAGGTTACACAGTGTTATCAGCCACTGAACATAAAGTCGGCATGATAGAGTGGGCCAATATCTGCACTGGAAAATATGTCACTTTTACGGGGAGTAAGCGGCAAGAAACTGGTATGAACATCACCCAGACCCGGTTACATACATAGGACCTGTAACAATTTTATGGGACTAAACAATACTTACAAGCAGAAAAATCAAAGCTAATCGGCCAGACTTCGTGATCAAGGACCACAAAAACAGAATGTACTTTCTTATTGGCATGACAGTTCCTGCAGATTCTAATGTATCTTTGAAGATTTTTCTAAAATCTATGAAAATACAAGGACATTGAAATGGAAATCTAAAAAATGTGGCACATGAGAACATCAAGAATTTCAGTTATAGTTGGAGTCTTCAGATATATTGAAAAAGTTTCCGATAGACACATTGAAGAGATTCTTGGTACCTATGCCTTAAAGAAATACAAAAATTCTACTCGCCAGTATAGCTTACATATTACGAAAAGCTTTATCTATGTAAAATGTGTGTGATCTTAGGGGGTTTTTTTTTGGGGGGGGGTTACAACAATGGTGAAGGGAAACTGCCATGAAGCCATTTCTGAGGTTAGGTCTCTGGTTGGTACCTGGAAACAAAATGTGTATACAGTAGAAATCAAAGTGAATAATAACAACAACAACTACAGCAATAATAATAATAATAATAATAATAATAATAATAATATAGCGACAACTCTAAGTAGAGGCTTATGAAACTTTATTTGACTAATTCAGGTTCAGCGCTGAAAACGTTTATTTTATTAGAGTGGAGAATATACAAGCGGGAGAGGAGATAAGATGTGCTTATTTTATTGACACAATAATAATAATAATAATAATAATAATAATACTATTAATTCTACTAATAATAATACAACTCAATCGCACTCATCAGAATATGTAAAATTATTAGAATTTAACGTGTTTTTAAGGCCAAGAGAATTTTTTGACAAAAATTCTGTTAGGATGAAAAATAAGTGCCCTATAGAAAACTCGATAGACAATCGCCGATAAAATAATTATTAAAGATTCAACGGCCTATTTGGCCATTTACTAATTAATTAATATATATATATATATATATATATATATATATATATGTGTGTGTGTGTGTGTGTGTGTGTGTGAGTGAGAGAGAGAGAGAGAGAGAGAGAGAGAGAGAGAATATATAGAAAATAGGAAAGAACTGGTTAGGTAAATAATCCAAAGTTCCTTAGTATTTTAGTTATTATTTTTAAAAAATAGTGCTCGATACAAAAGTAGAGCATAAATATAATTATT